GGGTCACTCAGGGTCACTCAGGGTCACTCAGGGGTCCCTCAGGGTCACTCAGGGTCACTCAGGGGTCACTCAGGGGTCACTCAGGGTCACTCAGGGGTCACTCAGGGTCACTCAAGGGTCACTCGGGGTCACTCGGGGCTTCTCACACCCCAATGTCCACTGTGGCCACCAAGGTGAAGCTCCTGGTCACAGCTGAGCCTGATGGACACTCAGGTGTGTCCCCAGCTGTCCCCAGCTGTCCTCAGCTGTCCCCAGGTGTGTCCCCAGGTGTCCCCAGCTGTCCCCAGGTGTGTCCCCAGGTGTCCCCAGGTGTCCCCAGGTGTGTCACCTGGCCGCTGTTGACGGCCGCGTGCCGGGCGGAGCAGCAGAAGATGATCATGGTCAGGAACTTGACCAGCTCAGGGCGGCCACAGAGCCTGGACGGGAAACCTGGGGGGACATTGGGGACATTGGGGACACTGGGGACATTGGGGGTGACACCTCCCCCATCCCACATCTCCACCCGGCTGTGGTCACCGCCCGTCCCCGTGGTGTCCCCACCCCCCAATGTCCCCGATGTCCCCAATCCCCCCTGATGTCCCCCCGAAGTCCCCAGTGTCCCCAATGTCCCCGATGTCCCCACTGATGTCCCCAATGTCCCCAATGTCCCCAGTGATGTCCCCAATGTCCCCAGTGATGTCCCTGGTGTCCCCAATGATGTCCCCAATGTCCCCAGTGATGTCCCCAGTGTCCCCATTGATGTCCCCGGTGTCCCCAATGATGTCCCCAGTGTCCCCGATGATGTCCCCAGTGTCCCCAGTGATGTCCCCGATGTCCCCAGTGATGTCCCCGTACCGCTGTCACGGTTGCCCAGGACGCCGTAGGTGAAGATCTCCCCCACCCAGTCCTGCAGCTCCTCGTCCTCGGCCACCTCCTGGTCCCCGGGGTAGAACAGCTCCACGATGCCCTGGACGTAGCTGGGGACACCGCGGGGACACCGGTGACACACGTGTCACCACAGCCACCATCCCTGGTGCCACCACCCGTGGTGCTCGTGTCCATCCCTGGTGTCACCTCGCCATGGTCCCATTGTCACCTCCCCGTGGTCCTCATGTCCATCCCAGTGTCACCACCCCCATCACCGATGTCACCTCGCCGTGGTCCCAGTGTCACCACCCCGTGGTGCTCGTGTCCATCCCAGTGTCACCTCCCCACGGTCCCGTTGTCACCTCCTCGTGGTGGTCATGTCCATCCTCAGTGTCCCCATCCCACTGTCTCTGTCCCCAATGTCCCCAATGTCCCCCAATGTCCCCAATGTCCCCAATGTCCCCAATGTCCCCCAATGTCCCCAATGTCCCCAATGTCCCCAATGTCCCCGATGTCCCCAATGTCCCCAATGTCCCCAATGTCCCCCCAGTGTCCCCAATGTCCCCAATGTTGCCAGTGTCCCCAATGTCCCCAGTGTCCTCAGCAATGTCCCCAATGTCCCCCCAGTGTCCCCAATGTCCCCAATGTTGCCAGTGTCCCCAATGTCCCCAGTGTCCTCAGTGTCCCCAATGTCACCTCTCGATGGCCCCCCAGATGTCCAGCGCGTCGTCCCTGTAGTGGTAGCCGGGGATGTCCCCAACGCCGCGCTCGGCCACGTCCTCGGGGACACAGAGCTCGCCGTAGGTCAGCGCGGCCAGGCCACGGGCCACCAGCACCAGTGTCCCCTCCCGGCCCACCGAGGTGGCCTGGGGACACCGCTCAGTGTCACCTCAGTGTCACCTGGCTCACCTCAGTGTCACCGGTGTCACCTCAGTGTCACCTCAGTGTCACCAGTGTCACACCTGGCTCACCTCAGTGTCACCAGTGTCCCCTCCCTGCCCACTGAGGTGGCCTGGGGTGGGGACAGCGCTCGGTGTCACCTCGGTGTTCCCCAGGTGTGTCCCCAGCTGTCCCCAGCTGTCCCCAGGTGTCCCAGGTGTCCCCAGGTGTTCCCCAGGTGTCCCCAGGTGTGTCCCCAGGTGTCCCAGGTGTCCCCAGCTGTCCCCAGGTGTCCCAGGTGTCCCCAGGTGT